TTGGACTCGAATTCAACCCTGGCCATCAGGCGCAAGCTCGGTGGTCTAGAGGTATGATGCCAGGCTAGTAATCTGGAGATCGTGGGTTCGAGTCCCACCCGAGAACAACTTGCGATTTTTTTCGCAATTGTTTTCAAACGTACTGAGTATTCAGTACATTTCCACGTCAGGTAGGGAAAAAATTACACCTCTAAATATGATTATGGTTACACATGTAAAGTTAATAATATAAACGTATGTAAGTATGGTTCATTATTGCATAATAGACACTGTGATAAGGGGCATCTCAAATAAAGGTACATGAATGGTAATATTTGAGTCGGTAGTAATTTCAGTGGCGTATCTATGGGTGCCCGGGGAGGGGTACACGCCCCTCCAAAAATTACTTGTCCCCAGCCGCCCCCTCCCCAAAACTCACTTGCAAGTATTTAAAAATCACCTAAAATCACCTTATTTTGCGAGTTAACGCCCCTCAACTGATCATCGAGCCCCCCCACCTTTTACCTTCGCGCACCCATCAGCACCCCATTTTCAAGACTTCTAGATGCGCCACTGAGTAATTTACCCGTTGAACTCTCGTTAAAAAATGAATGTTGCATCATACGATGTAGCAAGAGGATGAAAGTGGCTAGCAGTGAGTGATTGAGTCGTTTTCAATTCACACGAACAAAAACGCAATATATACATTACCGTCGGATACAAACACACCGGCTTGGATAGGCTGTTCTCCAATGTAGTTGCCAATATTTATGGGACCTAAATTCACAAGACACAGACTAGCCCATCATAATCGTATAAATAGCAGCTTCGGAAACAACTACGGCTAAATCTACAAATTCGTAATGGGCATGCGCAGAAACATGCTCTCACCTGTTACTGTATGTAAATTACATTGTAAAAGGTTGATAGAGAGTGCTGTAATCATAACCAGGACACCAGGAAGCTCCAATTAAATTTCAACATTCATCCTTTGTCGAGTTTGTTTCGACTAGCTGTAGTTGTTTCCTCACTTGTTTTATAAAGCTACATAACCTACCATCCGAGAAGAACATGCCAACTTCTATTGGTTTCTCATGCTCCCGGTATCCAATATTAATACGAGCTGGTCCTGTTTTTTGAATTGATAATTGAGGTAAACTAAGCACATGAATGTTATAATTAACCTATCAGTGGTGGATCCAGGAGTGGCGAAAGCCCCTCCCCTCCCTCCATCCATCTTTTCAACTTCTCGCTAGCAATCGAAGTCTCTAACGATGTGTGAAATTATTTGTAGATTTGGACCCGACACTTCCCACTTCGGACCACAGGTCCGTGGGTTGGCACTCCGTGCCAAGTCTTGGCAAATCATCCTGGATCCGCCCCTGATCTATATTTGATGCCATAGTATTTTCAACATTTTAAGATTAAAACGATATAAAATATTTAATAAATTAGGCTCTTATGATTTTTGCATGTACAGTACAATACTTAAGTATGGTATAAAATTTGTAAAATATAGGCCTATATAATAATATTAATTATATCGACATTTTTATCTAATATTTTGTGGTTTAGAAAATGAAGGAAAACTTTATAATATATATAGAGGTGGAGGCCTAATTAGTCTAGCCTATCCACTGACCTTCATGCACGTTCAGGAAATGCCCTATTCCGTGTCCAGTTCCGTGTAGATAGTCTAGTCCGTTAGCCCAGAGAGGCGCACGAGCAATAGCATCAATATCACGACCTGAGAGTAAATAATATTAGGTCTATCATGTAAAATACAGTTGAACCCCTAATTGGGAAAATTAAACACCCCTATTGGACACACCTATTCAGTATACAACCCTATTAAGGGGGCACTTTGTTGGCCGTGAAAAATTGGAAGTATATCTTTTAACATTATATAGCGAACCCTATTCAGAAGACATCCCTATTAAAGGGACACATTTTTGGTCCTGAAGGTGTCCCATTAATTAGGGGTTCTATTATAGTTTAAAAGTGCCATTGAGGGCGATATTCATAGTAAATAGACACATGCCTACGATGATACTATTTGGATGTACAATACAAATTAATATGAGAGTTCGGATTGAAAAATGTTTATTACCATAAACACCGGTTCTAAAAACAGTTCGGCATAGATCTATGGCTCCCATCAGAACGCGTGTGTAGGCATCCTGTAAAAAAAAGACATGCGCATTAGAGTTATAGATTTTCAACATTTTAGTGAATCGTGGTGTTTTCTTATTCAATCCTCCATAAGTGAATGGAATCACTACCGTACAGTATTTCAAAATGAAGACAATGACCATTTGAAATAGCTCATATTAAACAGTGAAATTACACTGTAATTTCACGGTTCCCTTGTTATATACAAGACTATCATCGTTGTTCGAAGGTTTGCATTGCGAAGTAATAATATAATATTAAGTGCTTGTGGTACACCAGGTAGATAGTACTGATCAGAACTGTTGGTTTTGTTGACAATGTTTCGATGTTTCGATTGATTAGCTTCAATCAACTGTCAACGTTTAGTGAATCATGAAGGTATCTTTATGCCTCCATGAGTGAAGGAAGTTACTACAGTGACAATATCCTCATTACCATCAATAATCTCATCGTCGTGACCACTGTCGTGAAATTTGCCTCATCATCTTGATCATCATCCTCCTCATCACCACCGTCGTCGTCAACACCATCATCATGATCATAATCATCACCATCATCCTCACCTTTCAACCATTCTCTGGCTCAGAGGCCGATCGATTAATTTTCGTTAAGGGGTGGGCTACTAAAAATTTCAAATTGTTTGAATTAACACTAACCTCAGCCCACTGACGTTGTTGTACCCACATGACGGTGTAGTTGATAAACTAATATTTTTAGAGATCTTCAATACAAATTTTAACTTAGGCCAACCTATGTTTTCACATTCATAAAAAGAGCATGTATGTTCACCATGTTAAGGAGTTACAGCCTGTTTATTCCCTTTCTAAATCCGCCACTACATTGGCTTTACATTAAACGAATAATTACCTTCTGAAAATCCGTTGGTGTACCAAAGTGAAAGGTTCTTGTGATATCCGTAGTACCATCACTTATTAAAAAAAATTACAATTATATAGAATATTTTAATTAAATGTATTTAAACAGTGGCCATATTATTCCTAAATAAATGTTTCTTCTCAGGTGTTAACACTATTATACAAATCTTTTGGTTTTATTTATTAAAGTTTAATCACATTAGGTTTTGCTAATTTTTTTTTATCTTTAATCAATTATTATTTATAACAGTTACTTATAAATGGAGAATAACTCACAGATATTGTCCACCAGAATCCAGCAAGTACGTGCTTGCTTTTGAGATGGCCTTGTTTGTTGCTTCAGATGAACTATAATGGAGAAAGACACAAGGTGTGATATAGCTATAACGGTTGTTGGGTGTGGGTGCCGGGTGCGTATACGTCTTCCTAGTCATGTTCTGATAGGTCAGTAGTAAAGTTGTCACTTTAGAAGTGTCTATTTATACTTTGTTTGCCATGATTATACGAATGGTTTAATAATATCACGTACCTATAGTGAATCACAGCCCCGTTTGCACCAAATCCAGAAATCGTCTCAAAACTGAGACCCTTAAAGTATTCTTTTTTCCTGTAAGTACAGAAAATATAATATTATATCCACAAAATCAGCCAGGCGGGTAAATCAATGAAAAAAAATCAATAATCCAATCAGTTCATCAATCGATCAATCAATCAATCAATCAATCTTCGGATATTTATTAAATTAAATTTTTATATTGTTTCTACTCACTCCCTGAAAGTATATAGCTTTTCCTGCGCACTCAGTTCACTTAACTTATTGATGTCGCCCGTTTCTGGATCCTTAAAAAATAAGAAAATAATATGAATATGTTCGTTGGAAAAAATGTTGATAGTTTCAATGTTAATTTTACCACTCATGGGCCTATTTTAAAGACCATTAGACTCAAAGTCATAACACAAAATATATATAAAACCCGTTGCTTAAAAGGACAAACTGCGTCGTTTTGGAAGTTATGATAATTATAGAATTTAACATTTTAAATGGGATGAACAATTCGATAATTCAATTTGTAAAGGTTGTTTTTTTTTCCAGCATAAGCAAAAAATATAGAATTGCAAGATGTTCTACTGGGCCTTTTTGTGTTTCATAATGTATGCACATATATGTAAATTATCCAATCGAAATGTGTATAGCTCACTTCTAATTTGTCAACTTCTTTTTCAAGCCAAGCAGCAAATTCAATGATGGCTGCCGAATCGCGTATCTATGAAGGAAAAAAAAGTATTAAAAAATGAGTTTTGATAGAGCGCAACATCACTGTGATCAGGCTGTGACTAATAACCGTTCCAATAATCCCCGGCCGTAGATACTGTTCAGGGGTGGATTTTTTTTTTGCCCCCCCCCCCCCACTTTGGAAAGAAAAAAAAGAAAGAAAAAAGTGATCGCCCAAAACGCATCAGAGGTTATTTTGGGGTATCTAGAAAACAAAATTTCGCGGGGGAATACCCCCGGACCCACTAGGGTAGTGTTGTCTCGATCAGCCCCAATTTCGCCCCCTCCCCTCTTTTGGACATCCCTGGATCCGCCCCTGCTGTTGCTAAGGTCTCAAAAAACGAGAGCGCAATTATATATACGTAACCACTGTGTGCTTGCTTAAACCATGTGGGTAATAGGTTAAATTCTATCGGTATTGTTGCTCTCTTTTCGTTGGTCGCGTCAGTTTGGCTATAGGCTTGTTGTTTACACTTAAGCCTATGGAAACATATATGCCGATGTAGATCCACCGACACAACGTACCCTGTGATTTTAGATCTATGTTGAATTAAAATATAAAATAGTAATAATAATTTGAACAATTATTAAACGCTCTTACACAGATTGTCTTACAGCGCTAATTATATCTATATTCAACAAATTTAAACGATAACAATTTTAACACATACATGGGCATTTCTCATGCCTTCTTGTTCAGTTGGATTTTTTACAGCTTTCATGAGTAGTATAGGAGAATCTTCAACATATCTTTTATCCTGCAAATACAAACAAATGCCAATAGTAAAATATGCATCACTTTTTGTAGGCTTATTTTCGTTGTGGAGAGTCGTATGAACTAATCTTGTTAATTCCTTTAATAGTGTTCATTATACTACAACTCTTGATAGATCATACCTCGTCTACTCTTTTGTAAACAGCGTAACTTGCAGATGCGTCACTAACCCAAGTTTGGTCATCATTTAATTTCTCAACGTCAACTAAGAAATCTTCGTATGAATGTAGCTGAACACAAAGATTTCCAGCTGAAAATAAATGAAAAAAAAAACAAAAAACAACTAAAACAAAAAAACTTTGTCCAGACTATCAAACCGTTACTTTGACAAAAAAATCCGTTGTACGCCCATGTCATGATGTGCGTATGATGTCATGATGTGCGTATGATGTGATGTCATCATGACCATATTTAGGCATGTCACATGTTTTCCTCAAATAAAATTTGATAGTCTGGACAGGGCTTTAAAGACATATCGTCTGCGATGAGCTAAAATTGAAAATTAAATTCAATATTGGATTGTTTATTTAGATATATTCGGTAACGTTATGCTGCCACCTTTAGGTAATCCATTGAGTTTGCTGCCTAAATAGAGAAGGTTGTATGAATACAGACATGTCCGGAAAATTAATAAAATTCAGCTTTCGAAAGTCGTTAAAATAATTCGACTCCCAAGATATACACATATGGACCTATAATAATATCTACGGGACTTGGATAATACTCTACGGTTTGTTCTGCTATCTGCATGATAGTGAACATTATTCTATTCAGATTTTTAATTGTTATTTGTAAATTGGACAAATCTTTATTTTTATGCAAATTATATACATTTTTATAATTTTAATTGACCTATCTCCGATGGTAAAACGGCTCTGTAGAGGTGCGTGTTCACTTGTTCTGTACTTGCTTTTATGGTGTTTTTTGTTTTGTTTTGTTTTTATTTGATCCAGTTAACGTTGAATAAAATAAATAATTACTTACAGCATTCGTCATCTCCGCCGTTAACTTGTAGGTGCTCTCTGATATCATATGTTAGTCGATCAGACGTGTTGTACAAATAAAGCCTGAAACAAACATTTTTCTTCAATTTTTGAATTTATTTGATAAGAATATTGTAAGCATTAGTTGGGTTTATCGCACTTAAACAGAAAAAAAAAGTGGTACGACACATGGAATGGGGTTAATACTAATAGTATCACTCAATGTACAGTACAAACTTTGGCATAAGCAAACCAAGATGTATTGAAACGCTATGACCAGTCCAATGTTCTTCCGTTTCTCATAAAATAATGAAAGCGGTTGTGGTTATAGAATTTAAGTACGGTAATCTTTATCCTTAGTTTATTCATCACACACACACACAC